AAAGGGGCACGTTTCTAAATCATAACCTAAAATGTTAAGTTCTTATTTTCTAGCTCTTGTTTCTGGAGAATAATACCTGTGCTGTAGGTTTTACAATGAGGTGAAATGCCTGTTATACAATACAAACTCCACTCTGCTACCATGCTGCAGTTTAACATTGATACCCCACCCAGATACATGAACCTACCTACTGGCACTATTGTTTTAACATGTTTAGATCAGAAGGTCCGGAGTCCGAATCTTATCACAGGACTTGCTACATTGGCCCCCAAAATGGGGCTGAGCAGATTCATATCAAACTATAGCAAAATAAGTCTCAGTACCCTACTTATCCCCAAAGATCTTGGCTAGAACAGGTCTTCAGCAATCCAGATGATGCTTGCACTTACAGGTGATGGAACGGGATTGGGATTGGGCTCGCTGACTTGGTTGATGCATGTCATATCCCAATCGCACAGATAGATGCTCATGATGTCAATCACTTGATTGTCTAGTCCAGACTCAATTATTTACAGACAGCTGTCATAGAGCTTGAATAATTTGCTGAGTGTGGCATTAAACTTTCCCGAAATACTTTCCATAAGTTAACAAATACTAACGTATCACCGAGGTTAGCTATCACTGTCATAATAAGAAACAGGTTGTCTGTTCAGTCATGTGATGTTTTTTTAATATTGATATCTGTCCAGTTAAGCCATCTCATGTGTATTTAATGCTTAGAAATTAATAATGAACACCATTTTGCTTCCAGTATAAAAGTACCATGTGAATGTGATGCAGCTATCATAGCTATTGCTGTCAAAAACTAAAACACAGTATGTTTTGTCTGGTACCCCCTTGTAATGGTGTAACATAATGCAAATCTTCACTGAATTACTGCAGAATTATGCAGGTAGGCTATAAGTAAAATAAGGTCTGGTATTTGAATCTTAAGTTGTGCAGTGTTAACAATGTTAAAATGAGCATTTTGTAACCTGAAGCTTGTTGAGCCCAGGCCAAGAACATCATGAATCATACCACTTGTTTTCAGTTCAGGTTAACTTTAATAACTTTCCCTGAAGGAAACTCACTTTCTTACATCAGTTCAGTCTCCATACAAAGCTATTGTTTTCAGGTTCCCTGAAGCCTGTGAATGTGAAATTGTTAGCTGTTCAATTTCATCAACGAGAATGCTTACTTGATTGTATTTCAGTGCATGCAATTCACCATACTTGTTACCACGGAAACTTGAACATTTGATCCCTGTATCATTCAGAAAAACCATGACATTTATCATGTTAATACATTATGTAGACAGATTTTAGGTTTGACAGTTGTAAAAATATTGATTTATCTACAGTGTAGCCTCATTTCAGCCTTTAACACATTGTGTATCAACCAGTATAACAGTTATACAAAAAATACTTTAATTCTCTTTTTCATTAAAAATGTAAAATACAAAACCTTATCATAACAAGAATAATTCATTCTTTTTTTCAAAACAATATCTTGGTCAACACATAAAACACTCAAATATGGCCTGGAGGTCAGGGATGTATCTAGACTTGCTCAGAGGCCAGTGTTCAGCCCCAAGTCCCCAGCAAATGTCTGTAAAAACGCCCAAATTGGAATTAAAACATTCCCAAATAATGATACTATATACTGAACAAAACGGTTAGGGATCATAAAACAAGTTTCTCAGGGGCCAGTATTTGGCCCCAATGCTGCAGCAAATGTCATTTAGAACCCCCAATTGTTACCAAATCTTGACAATATATAGTGAACAAAAACATTAGAGAACATGAAATATTTTTTGATACCGTACATGTTTAAAGAAACTCATTCTTCACTACAAAACATGCCAAACAACCGTGAAGATCCGGGGTAGAATAGGTCTTCAGCAACCCATGCTTGCCGTAAAAGGCGCCTGTGCTTGTCGTAAGAGGCTACTAATGGGATCTGGTGATCATGCTCGCTGACTTGGTTGATTCATGTCATTGTATCCCAATTGCGTGGATTGATGCTCATGTGATCAATCACTGGTTTTTCTGGTCAAGATTTGATTTTTTTCAGACCGCCGTCATATAGCTGGAATATTGCTGAGTGTGATGGTAAACAACAAACAAACCAACACTACAAAACAATATCCAGAAATATTCATGATCCCTAATATAACTTTTGTTGTTCAGCAATGTGATGGCTTGGCCAGTTTCACTGATAGCAGGACAAATATAGACCAACAGGCTTGAATACTTAGTTCAACATTATTGAATATAAGGCCACACTTGTTTTTTCACTCGCTAAGGATCCGCCAACTGTAAATTTTGTTCAAATGGAAAAACACAATTCAGAATTTGCTCATTTTTTTCACACCACTGATAATCTGACAGCATACTGCACCCAAAAATATCTTCTGAACACGGACTCGCTGAAGTTGACATATATTAAACATGACAATCAAATAAAGTCTGTTGTTTCTCCTGAAATTGATAGGATGCATCTATAGATGCACAACAGTGTTCCTCTCGATTCCTCAGGTTTGCATTGCTTAAACTAGCAGCTACGTTGCAGGCTCTCCTCCATTAAACCATTTTTTTTTTTTTATACCAGCTGACCTATAGTGGAGCAGAAAAAAATAAATAGAATTGCGTTTCGGTATGGATCCTTATACGGCTCTCCTTGTTTGACAAGGGGATAAGGATCTATACCAAAACGTCATTACAGTAAAATAAAGAAGTTGTAATCTGTATATAATTGTGTCTACTTAATCATCCGTCAACTTCTAAGTAATGTCTATCAAAAAACTTAGTTGTTTATGAAGTGATGAATACAAGAAGTGATAGAAATCTATTATTCTTCTAGTGTGCCACCTAGAAGAATCAATATACTTCTCAACTCAAAGTGAAATATGTTATTTGGAATTCTGTACACTGAGCATGTTATGTTCTGTCCAGTTTACTTTATGCAAATACATTAATGACTGGCTTCACATAATGAATATCATCACAAGGTGTTTTTATTATACAAAGCATGATGTCTACAATGTTCTAAAAACCGCCTCCGTGGTCTAGTGGTAGAGCGTCCGACCAGAGGGCGGAAGGTCCGGGGTTTGATCCCCGACCGTGTCATACCAAAAGTCTGGCACTCGGCATTAGGGGCTAAAACAAAGACTGGACGGCTCGGAGTCGGTATACTGTGTCTGAGTGGGGTATTCATGGTAAACTGTGGCATGGTATCTGTGGTCTAGCACTATAAATAGGTATCAGTCCAGACGAATACAAGCAGCCACACACACACATGCATGCATGTAGCTATATAAGTGCAATAAGCTTGGACATCACGTAAAACCCCATTTCACCTCACCTCACCTGCAATGTTCTAAGTAGAGGTGTAATGATACAGTGGGGTTGCGATATGATACATATCCCGCTAATATAGGTGCAATACAATTCGTATCCCGATACAGTACTTTTATTTCACAAGTTCAAATTCTTTTATTTTGGATAAAGAGGACAAACCATGAAATACCAGAGAATATACAACAGCTGGTGGTTGAACAGTTTCTGTTATTATTCACATGTTTTTACACCAATACAACTTGTAATGAAATGTATCATATGTATCGTGATGCAGGGGTCGTAAATCGATGCATTGTGTCGTGGGCGACACAATACTGTATCGACGTATGTTTACACCACTCGTTCTTCATGTACCCTTACAGTCTTAAGGCATCGGGTTCTTATATTAACCCATGATTTTATGAATTTAACTTAATCTTAACCACGCTGTCAGCCCATTAATATTAGGAATTGCAAGTTTTATATTATCTCGAAGGTAAGGTATCAGAGTATGGCTAATAAGCAAGACACCAATACAACTGACTTTGGCAATGGGACCTGATATGTTAGTTAATAAATAGGAGAGATGATATATTTATTTTTTAACCATCATTTGGTTCTAAATACAGTCAAACACCATTGTGTAGGGACCTACATAAATACTTCGAGTTATACAATGTTCGACATAACCGAAAATAATAAATAAAGAGGAATATGCAGGGACCTTGATTTGATTTCGAGACACCAAAAGTTTGACACATCAAAGTCCAACACAACGGTGTTTGACTGCACCATTATTCTATAAGTTGCGGGTAATGATCAGAAGATCCATAATAGCGTTTTGGTATTAGAACTGAATATTACAGTTAGATTTGTTTTAGCCTCCTTTAGAGAAAGGGTTTGAACAAGCATTTCACTTTCAGAAAGATGCATAATCAATGATTGACATTTCTCTGCCAAATTGGGTACCAGGTTATATAAGGCACTTAATGATGCCTGTTGAAAATTTCATTAATCAGTGGAAAATCTGATTTCTAGTATGAAGCTGAATGATTAATACTGGTTGTATTGATTCTTTAGTGCATCAAATCAACAAGATGCATTGCACCTGATAGATTTATCAACGCTGATGTAAAAATGATAATTAGATGCCATCTGTGCTAGATTAATAAATAAATCTAAATATGAATATTACATTGACAGACTACAAGAATATTCAACTCTTTGGTATCAAAGTAATTGTTAATAAATTTAGAAAAAAACATATACTTGTCATAAACATAATAATCATGTTGAGGACTGAAGATATTTGTAACATGAAAGAACAAGTATTTGTTTTCTAATAATCAATGAAAATATGGAATGAAAGCCTTGGAATCATATGCCAAATTCAGTTTTATGAACATTATTTCTATCTTGAAGATATATCAAACCCCAAAAGTATCTTATAACGAGTGGACGATGACAAGACGATAATATACGCAGTGTCACAGCGCATCACTGTTGGGGATGTGAACACACTGCAAACGAAATTCCTGACCGTTGACAATGACAGTTCTCACTGTTTATAGCATAAGGTTATACGGTGTTTCTACTAAAAGCGTTGAGAAGAGAGTTTTGTTTATAAACGCGACACTTACGAAATTGATTGAAAACAATACCACAGAACAAACATAACCTTACCGTGAAATAGATCCAACAGACGTCCTGAGCGGTGCAGTTCTGACTTATCCACAATATGCAGCGTGCACAGGGTAATCAATCAGTGACTCGGCTACTGTTAGTTTCAGCGGCCGACACAACTTTCTAGACGGCTGTTACGTACTCCACCCTTGTTTGGTATAAAGTTTCACTTGCGATGTCAGAGTGTTCCTGACTGCTAAAGTCGGTTTGATATGTTGATGTGTGTTTTAGTCAGTTACTAGTAAGATTCGACAGTTTGTATAAAAGTTTAATGGATATTGTTTAAAGGTACAGCATACAACAGGGAGGGTAAAGAAATGGCCATTTGTTTGTTGTTCAAGGGAGTGAACTATACGCTGGTGTAGTTGCTACCCGATAAAATTGAGTTCTTGTCGCCACAGAATTTCTGTCGCAGTATTATTTGTAGACATGGCCAGGCAGGAGACATTCTCTGTGAAGGACGCTGCGCCCGAAGCGCTATTGCTACATACATACAGAGAGAAATGTCTCACCATCCCTTTTCTGTTGAGAATTAGGCAATATAAAGACGATTTCATTTTTTTTAAAAACGCAAGGCAAGCCACTATAACATGTACGGTGGCCCATAAGGGACATGGAGTTTGTTTTTCCATATTTTGATATTTCACTTACATTTGTCGTTACCTTGTGCAAATTAACACGATTTGTCTTACAAATATGTGATAAATCATGTGTAAAGAAGATATTGAATCGCAGAAAAGTGAAACGAAAATGTCCAAAACTAAATTGGAAATGTCAAAAAACAAAAACGAAAATGTAAAAAACGAAAATGAAAATGTCAAAAACTAAAATGAAAATACAGAAAAATATTCCCACCGCGGTGAAAATGTTATCACTGCGGTGAAAACTAAACCGTAAAAGCGTGTCCTTATTCTTATCACCATATGCTGCACGTGATTTCCAAACTTTACACACTAATCCTGCACGCGACAAATGGTGCTTCTCGAGCCATGGATCTATGACGCAACATAACGGTATGTTCGTTTGTGCATCGAAACAATCAAATATGTCTTGAATATGAGTAATTCTTCATATATTAACCAACATGTATGTATTCGCGTTTCTTTTTGCGGTGAGTATATGAGCAACGCTCCACGCCGCTAAGGTGCAAGCACGCGCAACCAACCAACACTGACCACCCCCTCCTTTACAAACGTCGCCTTTCGCGACCAGCACAGGTTGCTATGAATCCTATGTAACGCGTGAGGCCAACGCGATGGTACATTGCAATTACTCATTAGTGTGAGAATAAGGAATTAATGTCAGTTTCAAAGTTACGGTATTTTGCGATATATTTTTCTACAGTGCGAGTACATGAGTACGGAGGAAATGTACTGGCGGTAAATTGTATCGATAACTGGGGACCTAACGTCTTTGAAACTGAACATTGATATAAGAGAAACTGAACATTGATATAAGAGAAACTGAACATTGATATAAGAATAGTGTTCCGCCTCCCGACCCCACCCCTTTTAAAATAAAATAAGTACCCTCAAATGATATATGTTTAAAATATTTAAAAAAAATTAAAAATGCCCGGTGACAGGTTCCTGTATCTATGTTGTCTTGTTTACATTTCATACCATTCAGTGTTAAGTACTAAGTCTTGCATCATAAACCAAACTATCATCACGTCTCTTCATTTTCATATTCATATTTGTTCTCCATCAAGCATTGCGAGGACATCAGCACAAAAACATTTCCGTCATCCCTGCAAATATTGGGTCGTGCCACTCGTTCAAATTCAGTTTGGTCACAAGCCGGTCGTGCCATCTCTTCTGTGTCTACCAACAGTGGTATGTGCTGAATGTATATCAAAATCAGGCCTAGTCGGTAATCAAAGTGCTAATCGCGTACGTTTTATCAATATTATTTAATAAGATACGATCAATTCCATTTTAGTTCGGGACCTTATTCCCCGATCAACATACACGCATACGAACATGAAACACTTCCTATGTGCCCCAAATACCGTTTATCAAGTAAGGATATTTGTTGTATATATTTTATCAATTACAAAGACGTTATTACCCCGCAGTTTAAAACTACTTCATCATGTAGAGCGGGTGCTGTTACTTAAATGTTTGGTATCTCTTAGTAATTGGCGCGACAATTGTCAACGTACATAATGTACCTACGACGTGGATCCAATTATCTCAAATAAACTTTTGAATATTCTGAACTATTTCAGTGTAATATTATATACATATACATTATTGCACTGAAAATTGTAAAGTTCGGACAATCCTTCATTGGTAATACTTCCAAAACTAACATCGACCAAAAATCGAAGTCATAATTATAGCTCGCACGGCAAGCGGCAGTAAAATCTCTACCCTACATTCCCTGTCATCCCTGCATGGTATTTTCAGTGTATGACGAAAGAGAGCATGGAATTAATTCTTATTAAGTTTATCCTTTATTCATTGATGCCATCTTGTACATGTTTATAATCTGCGTGACAAGAATCAACGCTTGGGGCCGTATGCGTAAACTTATGGTGGTTAACTGTACACGAATGATTGAAGCTGGACATATACTCGTATATTGTGTTAAATCCAACAGGATAATTCTTGGACAAATGAAACCCGGAAGGTAATAATTACACGGGTTCCCCTTGGTGAGTGAGTGAGTGAGTGAGTGAGTGAGTATGGTTTTACGCCGATTTTAGCAATATTCCAGCAATATCACGGCGGGGGACACCAGAAATGGGCTTCACACATTGTACCCATGTCGGGAATCGAACCCACACCTGGGCGTGACGAGCGAACGCTTTAACCACTAGGCTACCCGGCCGCCCCTCGGATTCCCCTTAGACATTGTGGTTTAATACTTTGGTATTATTGATAAAGATGTTTCCATGTATAATGTATAAGACACTCTCTGCAATGGGAAATATCCGGTTAAGATTTCTTTGAATGCCCAGGTCACATTCAGATTAGAACGGATTTAATTAAGAAGTGCACCCTTTAGACCAGTCCATTGTGCAGTGACCTTTAAACAATTTTAAAGGTTTTCATATTTGTCTGATGTGGGTTTTTTTTTTGCGAGTATGTTTTTGCAATATTCCAGCAATATCACGGCTGGGGACACCAGAAATGGGCTTCCCATTTGTGGGAATGAAACCCGGGTCTTCAGCGTGACCAGCGCACCTTTAACCACTTGGCTACCCCACCGCCTCGCTTTTTTAGGGAATGTGTGCCTACTTTTAAGAGATCAAATAGTGTTTACTTGCGGCTTTTCATAATACATTATCACATTGCCCTTGAATAAACGCAGTTGATATGTTTGGCGCAAATAGACCCTTTGATGACCCAAGTCGCCCAAAAGACCTTACACACCAACACCACTGTCTGGCAATGTATCACATAGAGGACAGGGGAGCAAAAAAACACTATACCCCTCAGTTGACTATACTTTGTTGATGTTTGGTTTTGAATAGAACATGATTATATTTTTAAAATATGATTTAATTTTAAACTTTTAAAATTTAATTATTATTTTTGGGACAACACACAACTGCTGATGGATATCGTAGATATATTATTGAAATAAAATAAAATTTGCTTTTTTCGGCACAGATTTACAACTTTTCAAACATGTTAGAGGTCACGTGTTTGGAAATTCATTTCTTCATTGAACCAATAAATTTTTACACAAAATTACTTTTTGCAAACTGTTGCATGAATGAGTGATGAGATTAAAACAGACATACAGTAAACTACGGTTATAACGAACTCAAAGGGACCACTAAATTTAGTTCGTTATAACCGTAGTTCGTTATAAGCATATTTACAAGATATATACAGCAGATATACAGCAAATGGACGGGACCAAAAACAGTTCGTTATATCCGTCAGTTCGTGATAAGCGTGTTCGTTATAAACGTAGTTTACTGTAATAAAATTTAACAACAGTTCTTTCAATTTTTTCTTTAAAAACTCGTTATATTTTCTTTTGTCATTTAGGTTTGTATGGGCAAGGAGGGGCCCGTGTAGGGTTCTCGATAGGAAGCCACACCATGGAGCTGATAGTGTGCAGTGTATACCAGTCTGGTTTGTACAAGGAGGTTACATGGAGCTGATAGTGTGCAGTGTATACCAGTCTGGTTTGTACAAGGAGGTTACATGGAGCTGATAGTGTGCAGTGTACACCAGTCTGGTTTGTACAAGGAGGTTACATGGAGCTGATAGTGTGCAGTGTACACCAGTCTGGTTTGTACAAGGAGGTTACATGGAGCTGATAGTGTGCAGTGTATACCAGTCTGGTTTGTACAAGGAGGTTACATGGAGCTGATAGTGTGCAGTGTACACCAGTCTGGTTTGTACAAGGAGGTTACATGGAGCTGATAGTGTGCAGTGTACACCAGTCTGGTTTGTACAAGGAGGTTACATGGAGCTGATAGTGTGCAGTGTATACCAGTCTGGTTTGTACAAGGAGGTTACATGGAGCTGATAGTGTGCAGTGTATACCAGTCTGGTTTGTACAAGGAGGTTACATGGAGCTGATAGTGTGCAGTGTACACCAGTCTGGTTTGTACAAGGAGGTTACATGGAGCTGATAGTGTGCAGTGTACACCAGTCTGGTTTGTACAAGGAGGTTACATGGAGCTGATAGTGTGCAGTGTACACCAGTCTGGTTTGTACAAGGAGGTTACATGGAGCTGATAGTGTGCAGTGTATACCAGTCTGGTTTGTACAAGGAGGTTACATGGAGCTGATAGTGTGCAGTGTATATCAGTCTGGTTTATACAAGGAGGTTACATGGAGCTGATAGTGTGCAGTGTACACCAGTCTGGTTTGTACAAGGAGGTTACATGGAACTGATAGTGTGCAGTGTATACCAGTCTGGTTTGTACAAGGAGGTTACATGGAGCTGATAGTGTGCAGTGTACACCAGTCTGGTTTGTACAAGGAGGTTACATGGAGCTGATACTGTGCATCCAGTCTAACGGCGATGGAGTTCCACGGTTTGGTTACTCAAATTTCAAGATAAATGGTGAGGTGAAACATTGAAATCGCGTCCACTTATACAGCGACGTGCATGTACGTGTGTGTGTGTGTGTGTGTGTGTGTGTGTGTGGCTGCTTGTACTAGTCCGGACTGATGCCGATTTATAGTGCTAGCTCACTGAGATACCATGTCGCAGTTTAACATGAATACCCCACCTAGACACAGTATACTGACTCCGAGCCGACCAGTCCTTGATTGAGCCCCTTAATGCCGAGAGACAGACAGGGTAACATCAAATACCATCTTTTAACGCGGCTGGGGATCGAACACCGGACCTTCCGCTCTCCGGGCGGACGCTCTACCAGTAGACCACGGAGGCGGTATCAATATAAATGATTAAACGGGAAAACAAGGTTACTCATATGTCGACAGGTTTTGTATTCTCATCAGGATTTTCCAAATACGTTTTAGACACCTTTTATCATCTTGCGTTACAACACTTTCATCATCGCATTAAACGACGTATACCTTTCTAATCAAATGGTGATTTTCATTCCAATGTTTTGATGTCGCAACTTATGACATGACGCATGACGTCAGATACTCGCTCCACAGCTGCCCCGGGGGACACCGCAGCACGAGCTTCTGTCCCAAGAGGCACTGTATGTACTTTGTGGGGTCGGGATGGGCGTAGAACCCTGCTCCGTCAGGGTGCTGGCAGATATTTGGATCCATGGTTGGCGACGCCAGGGTCAGCGCTGGAGATTTAACGTCAACTGACGTAGCTGTCGTTGTTTTGGACGACAGAAGCACCTGACGGACACACGTCTGTTGGATCTGATCCCAGACGAGGGAACTCGGACAGAGCTGCACCCACGGGTTGCCCCATACATCACACTGAATGAATTTGTCGGGGTCGGGGTGGGTGAAGTGAAACGTTCCGTCTCTGATGTCTCGCGCAGTACAAGGGTTGGATGTGTTCCTGCTCAGTATATGACGACCTGGAAGTGTCATGGCGGATATAGCCGACCCGCAGCCATGAGATATGACGTCATAGGCTTCCCCCGGGGGACACTGAGCTATGTACATCTTCCCGCTTAGGTCACAAAGTATAAACTTGGTTTTATCGAATGGGTGGATGAAGGATAGGGCGTGGCCGTGGATGTTCTCCCTTGGGCAGGGGTTGGCGGGCGGCTTGATTTTGTCTGTTAAAAACATGGTATATGCCTCGTTAGAATATGCACGAAAAAGGAACTTAAATTTCCATTTACCTGGAACCTGTAAAGTCAATATAAACTGAAATTGCGTGGGTCTTGTCAAAACTGGCATCACAGAGGACTGAAATATTTGCCTAAGGCCTACCTATCAAAACACACTAGTTTGTCACAACCGTCCTAACATACACATCGCTCCGACCCTGAACATTTATAACTGCACATACCTTGACAATGTCATCTAATATCTTTCACCATTCTATTCATGGAAACAAACCAGGCAGTCAATTGATCCATGCACCAGATAATCCAGTGTTAATTTTGAATTTCGTCTGTAGGTACCAGTCAATGCAAAAGATTATGTCACATAAACACATCGTCGCGTATAATGTGAAGACGATATCACTCATTGTTCGTGACGTTATGGACGGGTATATGTGACGTCACACCAACACTCGGCCAATGCGCAAATGTCTACACTTGAGATCGGGAAGTCGGCATTTGTAAACACTTTCTCAGAAACAATGACATGAGAGACAAAGCCAAAGCTCGGAACTTACAAAACCTTGTATACGTGCATAATACATACCTAACTAGCAGCATGCATACATACATAATACATGCCTAACAAGAGCATGCAAACATACATATTACATACCTAACTAGCAGCATGCATACATACATATTACATACCTAACTAGCAGCATGCATACATACATATTACATACCTTACTAGCAGCATGCATACATACATAATACATACCTCACTAGCGGCATGCATACATACATATCATACCTACCTAGCAGCATGCATACATACATACTACATACCTCACTAGCGGCATGCATACATACATAATACATACCTAACAAGAGCATGCAAACATACATATTACATACCTAACTAGCAGCATGCATACATACATATTACATACCTAACTAGCAGCATGCATACATACATATTACATACCTAACTAGCAGCATGCATACATACATAATACATACCTAACAAGAGCATGCAAACATACATATTACATACCTAACTAGCAGCATGCATACATACATATTACATACCTAACAAGCAGCATGCATACATACATATTACATACCTAACTAGCAGCATGCATACATACATAATACATACCTAACTAGCAGCATGCATACATACATAATATATACCTAGCTAGTAGCATGCATACATACATAATACATACCTAACTAGCAGCATGCATACATACATAATACATACCTAACTAGCTCTATGCATACATACATAATATATACCTAACTAGCAGCATGCATACATACATAATATATACCTAGCTAGTAGCATGGATACATACATAATATATACGTAACTGGCAGCATTAACACACAATACATACCTAACTAGCAGCATGCATACATACATAATATATACCTAACTAGCAGCATGCATACACAATACATACCTAACTAGCAGCATGCATACATGATATATACCTAGCTTGCAGCATGCATACATACATCATATATACGTTACTAGCTGCATGCATACATACATAATATATACCTAAATAGCAGCATGCATACATACATAACATATACCTAACTAGCACCATGCATACACAATACATACAAGATGTACCTCACCAGCCGCATGCATACATATATAATACAAACATAACTAGTAGCATCCATACATTCATACTGCATACCTGATTAGCAGCATGCATATATACATAATATATACCCAACTAGCAGCATGCATAGATACATACTATTTACCTAACTAGCAGCATTCATAGATACATAATATATATCTAACTAGCAGCACGCATATATACATAATGTATTTAACTAGCTGCATGCGTACATACATAATATATACCTAACTTGCTGCATACATACATATATAATACATACCTAACTAGCAGTATCCATATATTACATATATCATATATCACCTTTCTTACCTAGGTCTGGTGTACAAAGCTGTTGTTTCTGCACCTGCGGACAACCATCGGCATTGCCCTGACATCCTTGTGCATCTGATTGCAGAAGAAAATATGTACTCAGCATTAGGAAGGAACACGACATCTTTCAACGCTCTGCCCGGAGGTCTGAGAGTGAATTATAGCACTTACGGTAGTTGTTTTGTCCAGAAACGTACAGAATAAGACCTTGCTCAATAGTTCGGACACAAGGTGATATACAGTACCACAGAAATACCAGCGGACGTGCGCGGGACCATGGACATATAGATTTACATCATAACCTGACTTGTAGGGCAGTAGTGTGATCTTCATGGCATTATACCATATCGTACGTTGTTGCATCTGCTATGTAAATTTACGTTTAAGTAGCTGTTGTTAGGAACAGGATTAATTGTGGCATAAAATAAAGTTGTTAACATAGATATCTGCGTCACCCTTTCAGGTTTTTATGTCAATACATACTCCTTGTTGTGTTGGATTTCTAGGCATATATATTCATATGTGATAAATATCATACTGATATAAATGTTTAAGTATTGTATTAATATTTATTTTTTGCATTAAAATGTGGGTCTGGCTTAGGTTCTACCTGACGTCGAAGACGCGTTGGGTAAACTCATCGGCAGAGAATCGTTAAAACCACTGTGGACTCCGTTCTTCACAGCGATGCTGATGTTCGCAGACAGACACGACGCCATCTTGGCGACGCCCGTGGCGAGTTTCAGCGCTTCCACGGTGAGATAGAATGGCCGGTTGTGTTGGAGGAGTAGTTCTGCTGGATGGGGCTTCGTGACGGTGTAGGTGAAGTCGTTGGAAGCCAGACTAGGTCGGGGGCTGCTGTAGGAGCCGTATATGTGGACGACTCCGCAGTCGACAGCCACCTAGTGAACGTGAGCACCCGCACATCAAACACGTTCATGTCGAACGAACGTTATAGTTTATAATGTATAACGTATATAAAGGGTATTTCGCTCATCTTATCAATATCATTGTCTGATCGAGTGACATGACATATTATTGTTGAAGTATTTAATTACTATCAGGCACGTGTATAGTCATCGTGGGTCGTTGCTAATGCTATCAAGCACTGGTGTGCCTGTGCCAGGTTTGTTAATAGATTGGAAATTGCTGACTGGAAAACAATATTCATTCTCCTACTTTCTGATTACGGGCACTTTCTTTACATCGCGACCTCTTTAACAGAACAATCTGTCTAAACACAGCCTCTTTGTATATCGGCGATCTGTGACCAGTGCCGTATACCGACCCTTAATCTGCCCCGTCGTGGAACTCGCTCTTGACGCCACCATTCAGGACCATTATCCATACTGGCCCTTACTTCCCCACTATACGCTCCGTATGTTCGCCACGCACTATGTATACCATTTGTGACCATTCTGCTTCCCCACCATCCTCGAATAGCCAGTGTATTACATATCCATTCTATTTAAAAAATAAACGACGAGTGGGAGTTGTTTATCGTACATTAATTCACTGCAGGGAGAATACACCAGTCCCGAGTGGTTTATTCTCTCTCCAGTCGTTTATTTCTTCAGAGATATCAACGTTATATAAGCATCTTTAAGGATGATGATGAAACGTACAAGCTTTAAAAATTCACCCGTATTTAAATAATGAGGACTCCCTCAATAGAATCCGACCTCGGACATGTCAGAAAAGTCCAATTTATGCACAGGTTGGTATTTCCCGCATATTCTACACAATTCTCACGTCGATTACCCGAACCGTTCCTCCCAATACCAATTGTCATATCTCTCCCGCTTTGGGATGCGATCGTTCGGCCATCGCGTTTATCTGCGTTGCCAAGCTACATCTATAGAGAGCAGCTCACTGGACACTCCCCTCTAAAAAATAAAGTCGTCATATATACGCATCAAGATGCGAGCGCATGTTCCAATCTCCAGAAATGACGTCATGATCATGATAGAACAATGTTTTATCATGAAATAAACCACGCTTCGTTCGCATGGCTATCTTATATCTTATATAATGCCTATATGCCCCGGACCCATTCGCTACCAAAGCTCCGTGTCTCCTGTTACTAACTTTGCAGGGAATATTGCTAAGGACAATGTTAACATCCAGTTAGTTTGTGTGACCTGTAAGTAGTTGTTGGTGTTGCTGCAGTCGACCATGTCATCACTCGTCAGATGGAAGTGTTTCTTGAGTCCCTGGTCAGGCAGGCTTGACCGCACTATCTCCGTCGTCGTGTTGCAGCGCAGGACCCGGATAGCTGGAGCTGCAACAAGACACATTGGTATGCGACGGGAGGTGGGACTGAGAGTGTAGTTTGTATGCCGCTTGTACCCACGTCGAGGAACACCGAGAATTGCGTTTTCATGTTCCATTATACCTGGGACTGCGGTATGACGAGGGAAAGCTTTAATCATTAGGCTACTCATGACATCGAGAAATCATATATAACACGTCTGTCCTTTCTTGCGCGACACAAACGCAACTTCCCCTCGACTTGAACAGCCACTATTTTCTTAGGTGAGGTGAGGTGAGGTGAAATGGGGTTTAACGTCGCGTCCAAGATCATTGCACTTATATAGCGACGTACATGTACGTGTGTTTGTGTGGCTGCTTGTACTAGTCCGGACTGATGCCGATTTATAGTGCTAGCACACTAAGATACCATGACGCAGTTTAACATGAATACCCCACTCAGACACAGTATACTGACTCCGAGCCGACCAGTCCTTGTTTTAGCCCCTTAATGCCGAGCGCCAGACAGGGTAACAACAAGTACCATCTTTTAACGTCTTTTGGTATGACGCGGTCGGGGATCGAACCCCGGACCTTCCGCTCTCCGGGCGGACGCTCTACCACTAGACCACGGAGGCGGTCTCACTATTTTCTTAACAAAAGCCTCCGGGAGAAATTGGGTACAGCCCGACTTCAGCGACGTTATTACTACCACGCTGAGTTAAATTTAATATACAGAAAGGCATCTTGAAACATTTAAGTAGTACGCGTGCCGACAACGACACCAACTGCCTGAATGACGCATAATAATCTTCTGTCGTTAGTGTGTGTGGAGGGGAAGGGAGTACCGCCTTCATAAGTCAAATATCGTTACTTCCTATTTATCATTTTCCTTTAGCCAAACATGGACACTATGCGAGTATCACCTAACGTGCATTTCGAAGAGGTTATTAAACCAGTAAACATCCAGTTAAAGCTTAAAATGTCTTTGTTAAATGAAATTATTTCTTAGCGTTCACTGGTTCATACTCACTCACTTACTCACTTACTCACTCTATTGTTTGAAAGATTTCATGCGGAAACTAAGAACTACGACGTCCTCCGTTTCGTTGCCTTCAAAAGCCAATCTAAAAAATAAATGACTGAATAACCTAAATGATTGCATACCCGCACAAGACCCTTGCAGAACGTCGTACACGATGTCGCTAATGTGAGCGAACGTGGGCAGCAAATACACGTGGTTACACGTGGGTGCCGACGCCAGTGCGTTCAGTACCCGGATGTTGACCCTGCCGACCCCGATAGTGAAGACCCTGATCCCGGCTTTGTGGACGTCTTGGCCGACTGTAATGGTGGCGTTTGAGCTCTTCGACCTATGGCAGATTATATGACATAACAGTCCTGATATTATTATATATTGGCAGAATTATGTGATTGGCTTTAATCAGTAGTTATCTATTTAACTTTGTCAATTCTATACCTAACAAACGCGTGGTCCCCAACATGAGAAAGAATCCATTTATCGGCGAAATGATGGTATTTTGATATTACAATAATTGTATGATTGCTCATGCTATCAACCCCTGTTTGTTAGTTTCAGTTACAAGTACTCGTAGGCAGCCGTATAAGAACTGTGATATTACTAACTCCGACACTCACTCATTCACCATTTAGCACGTTAATATATTCTCATCTTTCGATTTCCCTTCCAGGGATCTCAATCGCTTAAGACGCCGCTACAACGTGCAGAGTTGCGCCCCTTGGACGTACCATAATCCTGATTCTTGGTTCGTCACTAACGTGCTCTTTAGTTTCAGCAAAGTGGTAATGCCAACGATAAGAGTCAGCTCGGGCCTTCCTCCCACTATAAAGTGATATGCCATGAAATAAGCGATATACCTTCCAAAGTCGGGTTAAACCCATCCCACTCACTTTACCTTCCGTCTGTTATGAGAATGGCGATCTTAGAGGCCTCCCGCCTGGCGCCATTTCCGGCACTGAAGACGTCATGGATGGTGACATTGATGGCTTCAGCGATGTTGGAACCGCCGGGGACGTACACCATGTTGTCGAGGTAGCTGCTGATCTGTGCGGCTGTATGGTAGCGATCCAGGTGGAACTCCACCATGGCGAAGCTGCTATACTTGACCACGGCGATCCTGGTGTCTGGGCTTGACCGGAAGAGAGTCGTGACGGCATCCTTGACGAAGTCAAGCGTCCTGTAGAAGTCGATGCTGTCCACGCTGCTTGAACTGTCCACAACAAACACCACGTCGAGTTGTCTACTGGAGCACACTGGAAGTAAATAATACAGTAACTCTAGTACTAACCAACAACAGTGGCCGTCCGCAGAGAAACAAAGACTGTCAGGATTTAAAATTAAGCACTTTGTCATTATAGACTAAAATAGGGCAAGATACATCAAGAGTATGCGTCAATAAAATATCTAGATAAACACTATTGGGTTTATTTAGATGAATGATTGTCAAAAGACAGAAACACCTCGTCCAGAGCACGTGATTTGTTTACGTCAAGCTTAATCAACCACTACAACGGAGACTCTATCTCATTAGCCAAGGACAACGTGAAAATTCGAAAGGACTAGTTTGTTTGTGTTTGTAAGCCGCCCTCAGCAACATTCCAGCTGTATCACGGCGGTCTGTAAATAATCCAGTCTGGACAGACAATCCAGTGATTGATATCATGAGCATCGATCTACGCAAATAGGAGACGATGGCATGCATCGATCTATTCCAGCGATCCCGTCCAGCCGCTGTCCTGTGAGTCTTCTCTTTCGACAAGCATGGGTTGCTGAAGACAATGTCTGATTTTAATTCGGATCGTCACGGAGATGGTAAACATGTTTGTTTAACACGACACATATCACTATATATATATATATATATATATATATATATATATATATATATATATATATATATATATATATATATATATATATATATATAAACTGAATATATAATTATATAAAATATACTGAAAATAAACATTACATTTGTAATACCAATCTCATTACTCTTTAAATTTGTGAAAGAATACAAGAATATCGCCAGACAGCACAAGTTCCCAGCATTCAAGGAATCTTAAGTGCTACATAATTATATAAAGTCCAGGCAAGAAACTGAGTCCAGGTTGGCACTGCACGTCATGACGTCAAGTTAAAACTAACCTATCTTACACTGCGATACATTCGCTGCAATCTCACGCTTGAAATCGAGGTCGTGGGAATAACCTTGTTTCCAATAACATTATCATTGAAAGACGTAACCATGTAAACATTCCATTTTCATTCATTACCTACGTCAAACTCACGTACAACAAGCACTGTTACCGTGTTGGGTGTTTCGAAATTGTTGCAAAGTGTGTTAAAAAATCAGCCTCATAGTCTTAGATAAAAATTATCAAATTTGCAGCTGTAGCTGACAAAATATCTAATCTCGTTACAAAATCCCAGGCCACCAACAGACCATCAACGGTCGGTCCCTTCCGGATTAGTTTCAGAAAAAAACTCAAACAGCTTGAAGGGCAAGTTCACACGGAAATGAACCTATTTTTCTTGTACTTTTTCCACATTAAAAGTGTTAACCTAGTAGTGTCATAGACAAAAATATAAAAATATCACAATTAATTAACATATGTTTTGCATTAAAACGATTTATATTTTTCACATTTACCAAGTGTTCTATTTTCATAACAAAAACACCATGGATTATGCCCCTTGCAATATGACGTCATTGGTGCCAATTGATAAACATTATGACGTCATCATGCTATGTTAGAGCCGCTTCACGTGGTGTAGGTACAGCTGTGTGATTCTAGCGTCTCAGATGTCAGCCAGCATAGTGTTATGCTGAGTCACCACTGCGCCGGAGTGTGTCGTAGGCCATGTTGTTTTACCGAAAACTGGTACTTGATATCTTTTGCGTTGAGAATAGACAGGGATCCAGTTGAATTGGCACCAATTACGTCATAATCTAAGGGGGATAACTCAAGCCTGTTTAGCTCGAAAAACGAAGGCCTCATAACGGCATATCATTTTCACACTATTGTGAGCTTCCTACTTTCACTGTGAAAAAAATGAGTTTACATTTTCAAACACAGATATTAACTAATTCTAAAATTGCGTTTTGTTTAGAAAAAGAAAGAAAGTGATTTTAGCGTGTACACTTCCCCTTTAAGAAGGCATTGAGCAATCCTTTTGCGAACTACAGGGCACTACAGTGTTTCCTCGAATAAAATGTTTGTTTTGCGAGATACATTAAATTAACATGTGCAGAAAGGGAATACCATTGTGACGTATTCAGCTCACGTGTTACTTTAAGGTCTTCAAGCCTTTTGGTATGACTCGATGACTATGTATAATTCTCAAATTCTCTTGCTCAAACAAAATAATGTTATCCAGTGGCATATACAATGTAATACAGGAGACTTAAACCTCTATTCAAATCTAGGATGCATGTCATCGTAGCTTCGGCAGTGAGGCACGTGTATAAATGAGAGCCTGGAAGTTAATAATAATTATGATACTTTGATTACTTTGTCGTAATTTCGATTATTTTCTCGTTGCTTCAGTTTTTTTTCGTATTTACGATTATTTTCTCGTTGTTTCAAATTTAGTTTTTTAAAAATAATTAAAATTACGAGAAAAAAAAGTCGAAGTAACGAGAAAAAGTGAGGTATCGACCTTTATAAATAGAAATGAAATAACTTGAAAATTATCGAAACAACAAAAAGATAATGCAAATAACGTAAAGACTCGTAAAGTGGAGATTTTTAAAAACAAATATAAAAATGAACTAATTCATAACTACCAAAGTGGCTTTCGTATACATGGATCTAGTTAAATGCAGTATAGCTTAATACTGAATTATCTTCTACTGACGGGACTACAGATTAACCGCCAGTGATAGACCGTACATTAATTTAGTCGAAAGAAAACAGTCTTACCGTCTGGCATGACGTGCACTCTGTCGACGTAGCTGTAGGGTAATATGCCGTCATGGAAGGCGTCCCTCCAGAAGACTTGCTGCCCCGGGGGATCGGGAGGCACCCCGTCCGGCCCCACTGTTAGGAGCGTGTACAGGGAGGCGGCCAGGGCAGAGTAGAGGGGCTTCAGCAAGGCCCGCCACGGTACCCGCTTCCAGTCGATGGAGAACTCGCGCAAGATGTCCAAGCATTTGGGGAGCAAACGGGCTGAACAGTTTGTCGTTGCGCGGAACTTGGTCTCGTCTATCTAAAAGAAAAATATAATCGATTCTCACAGTATTTTGAATTAACTATCCATGAAAGCATATGATGATATTTATATTCCTTGTAACATATTATCACAATGACCTGACAAAGTTACGTAATTTGAAAAGAAGAGTTTCATAAATTGTTATTCACCCTACACACCCTCATAAGTCCCTTTCCCTTGCATAAATTGCGAAAAGTCTCGGAACATCTTAGGGGACGTGATGCGATCACGAGGTATCTAAACTGCCCTGGGACCCGTGAAGATCCGGGTTAGAATAGATCTTCAGCAACCCATGCTTGCCGTAAAAGGCGACTATGCTTGTCGTGAGAGGCGACTAACAGGAACGGGTGGTCAGGCTCGCTGACTTGGTTGATGCATGTCATCGACCCCAATTGCGTGAATCGATGCTCATGATATCAATCACTGGATTGTTTGGTCCAGACTCGATTATTTACAGACCGCCGTCATGTAGCTGGAATATTGCTGAGTGCGGCATCGTTAAAAAACAACAAAATAACAAACAAATAAACTGCCTGGCTTAAAAGCATCGACGAAACTGCTGACGTGGTGTCCAAAACACAACTGCCATACCCCTATCCAAAACACAACTGCCATACCCCTATCCAAAACACAAATGCCATACCCCTATCCAAAACACAAATGCCATACCCCTATCCAAAACACAACTGCCATACCCCTATCCAAAACACAAATGCCATACCCCTATCCAAAACACAACTGCCATACCCCTATCCAAAACACAACTGCCATACCCCTATCCAAAACACAAATGCCATACCCCTATCCAAAACACAACTGCCATACCCCTATCCAAAACACAACTGCCATACCCCTATCCAAAACACAAATGCCATACCCCTATCCAAAACACAAATGCCATACCCCTATCCAAAACACAACTGCCATACCCCTATCCAAAACACAAATGCCATACCCCTATCCAAAACACAACTGCCATACCCCTATCCAAAACACAAATGCCATACCCCTATCCAAAACACAACTGCCATACCCCTATCCAAAACACAACTGCCATACCCCTATCCAAAACACAAATGCCATACCCCTATCCAAAACACAACTGCCATACCCCTATCCAAAACACAAATGCCATACCCCTATCCAAAACACAAATGCCATACCCCTATCCAAAACACAAATGCCATACCCCTATCCAAAACACAAATGCCATACCCCTATCCAAAACACAACTGCCATACCCCTATCCAAAACACAAATGCCATACCCCTATCCAAAACACAACTGCCATACCCCTATCCAAAACACAGGGGGTTAGCACTGCCCCTGTCAACCTGGATGTCGGTAGGTAGATTTTTTGCGGGACAGAAAAACTTGTGATTTCACCCGACCACATGAAGCACGGTTTGGGTAAGTTGAACTAAACCCAACTTTAATCATGCACCGAAGGGCTTCCGGACCACAATCGTTGCAGAATTTATGTAAGACACTCAATAATAAATTCAATATTTCTTACTTTACTTTTAGTGTCACCTTGCGACGAGTCGAAAACTGGATGCTTTTCATTGTAACAAACAAAATCTTTACTTCATATATTTTACACGCATAAGTATATAATTTCTTTGCACCTTCCGTGTAGACATAAACATGCTTAGATGTCAATGCTTACTTGCAGAGCTAGCTTAACCAACGCGCTGACATTAAAAGCATGGGTTCGGTTCAATAAGGGTAAACAAAATAGGAATTCAATATGTTCATCTTAATGAGGAGAGTGGTTTATCATCTATACGCAAGGACGATACATTATGTATTATAACAGTTTGCGAACAGTTTTATATCATGTTTACACGAGGACTCTCGATACATAAATATACTCTCATCGTAAATGCTGACTGCTAAACATTCTTCCTAGAAAGGGGGAGGTCGGGTAGCCTAGTGCTTAAAGGGTTCGCTCGCCACGCCAAAGACCCGTGTTCGATTCCCGACATGGGTACAATGTGTGAAGCCTATATCTGGTGTCCCCCGCCGTGTTGTTGCTGGAATATTGTTAAAGCGGCGTAAAACCATACTCACTCACTCTTCCTTGTAAGGCTACAACACCGTCGCTTGAGAATCACCTTAAGCGTCATGCTGGGGAGCTTCTTTGGAATGAACTGGTGTTTTTTCTTTCTAACCCATACAGGCAGGGTGGATAAAACTAAAGTTGCCGATGATATAATACCGCCATTGTTTTACTCACCTGCCAGATCCCCCCATAGTAACCCGATCTAAAGGTCTTCGGGTCTGTTCCGTCCGCGCTCTCCACATAGGCCAGGCGTCGTAAGAACAAGTTACCTCGAAGGAAGATGCACGCATTACGTATACGATCTACCACGGTATTTACGATCTCGCTACCACGTGCCCTATCGTTAAGTGCTTGATCTGCACGCAAACGTACTACCACGTAGAAAAAGAAAAGAATTAGTCTGGCGTACATCACCAATGTGTAGTTAAAAGTAACTGTGTGGAAGATCTGTCCTTAGCACGCATGTCAAATTGAATGGTACAAGATGTCTACCGTTCTTATCGATGACGTCATGCACATTTAAGAGGCTTGTTGATGAGTATACCTGAGAGTTGTGTGGCAAGGGCATAGAGCTATACCGCCCCGTAAATGTATACCTGGAAACAAGGAACGCCCCTCCTTTTTTCATATATCACGAACTTCAATTTACCTTTTGGAAATGTTTACATATGAAATTAATCTCACATTGATAAATGTTTAATATACCACCGTGTCTTGCTGACAGCTTGGTCCAAGAAGACTGCATGTTCATCCAGATGATCGCAGGCACTGGCCATATTAGATGCAAATGTAGCAGGGCGTGGAGTCATCACACAGATGACATCCTTACCTTGTCAGCTTGCTGACGGGGTTAACCTCTTTGGTCTTGTGGACAGTGCGTCTGACCTTTGAATCAGAAGGTCCGTGGTCCGACTATCACGGCAGTCGGACAGTTTATGACCACTACCCAAAAGCACAGAGGAAGATATTGAAAGCGTAGACAAGTAACTATGATCAGTTACAAAACAAGATATGAGGTGATCTTTTTCGGTTTCTTGCATTTTGTAAATATAATGTTCAAGAGAATTATTTACAGGATACAACTGAAAAAGGACTATTTCTTTTGAAAATGTAGAGTAAATCGTGCTTAGCGTTTCTGAGAGGTGTATTTATTAATTGTTGGGTTTAGAAATGTTTCCTTTATCGAAGATCCCTTATCTACATTTGTTTAATTCAGCCAACAAGTTTGGGTGCTACCATATACACATACACTATTTCGGTTTTACGGCGTCAGTGTGTGCACTGTATATGTGGACTGCCTATAATCACTGGCTACCTGAAAGTGGGTTCAATGATGTTTAGCTTCAGGTCAGGCATTCAGGAATGACGTCTATAATAGCCTGATATCGCCGGGGCTGTTGACTATCCCGGACGCTTAAATATCCCAGTCGTGTTTGGTCATATACAGCGTAGCACAACTGGTCATGACCTGAAGCCGATGGCAACGATGATCAACCATAATGCTTATTGTTCACGATCCTTTACGATAATATTTCTTTGAATAGTGTAATAATACATAGAGGACATTTGCTTATCCTGGTCAAATAACATGTTTAACTCATCGACTGACCTGACAAAGGGGATATTTTCACAAATCTTGCAGCCACGAGTGAAAAATGTCAACTTTGTCAGGTCACAAGTTTATTTGACAAGACAGGACATTAAACATTCTACCTGTTATATAATTTATTATTAATCTTCACAATTATTCTCTGTAAAAATAGTTCAATTTAGGCAGAGATTAGGCAGAAAATATTATTCCTTATAAATTCGATATCTGACGCCTTGAAATAACATGTAAAATAAAATATCTAAAAGGAGTATAACCTCACTCACCCCCCCCCCCCCCCCCCCCTTACGTCACAGATGCAAAGCGAATTTAATGCTTGTGAAGATCTAGTTTGGTTTCATAAAGACAGTTTGTGTAAACGGCTCTCGCTTTCGTGATATTCCTTCAGTTCTGCCATGTAGTTGTAAAAGTGAATGACCTCTCGTGATTTTTGTATGACGTACGGGTTTAGTATCTTACACCTGTATCTTCACCACGTAGGTAATAAAACAAGTTATGTTTTTAATTGCGTGTGATTATGTCAGTTGAATCAGGATTCTAGAGCAGAAACAAAAACTGGTATCGGTATTGGAAAACAAGATGGCGGCCCCTTCGAAGACAGCACTGGTTTTTACTTTCGATCTGGAATCGTTTTTTTAATCGAGTTCACTTTCGATGAAAAAAGCATAGTTATTTGAAGCTAAATGATAAAGGAAGAGTATGATATGGAGGTTCTAAAATATTTTATAGGTGGTGGTGGGGGGTTAAAAAAAAACAAACAAACTGCAGTAAATAAAAAAACTCAGCCTCCAACTGCTTGAAAAACATAACTCAGCCTCAAATAAAAGTCTCGACCACAATATGGCCATCCTCATCAATACAGAGTGATTAGTGAGCAAAGCCATAATCTTGACAGAGAGACATAGTCATGAGAGACAGTATGCCTGAAACTCCCATTAATCAAAAATAATTTCAAATCTCCGAAGAAGCCATAACAGTTTTGACTGATGTGAAATGACCATTAAGCATCATTCCCCCTTACTTCCCTTTTTTCAGAAGGTTGTATAGAGGGGTGGCGATGCCAAAAGGCTTGCTACAAATTGTGATAATACGAGGACAACCTAAGAAATGAGCATGTCATGGACATTTTTATAGGGTGGGATCTGTGTAACTGAATCTATTTTTGAAGGATCGACATGTATGGCATCTTTGCTGAAGATATGCCCTCAGTAGGTGACTTGTTTGGTTTTAGAGTGAGTCCTGCTTCTTTGATCTTTTGGAATTCTGCCTTGAGGTGATTCAAATGTTCCAAAAATCATTTCGGAAAAATATTATGACGTCATCTACATACATTTGTATGTAACGTCAATTCATTTCTTTATTGCCTCTCAGCATGTTTGAAACCGAAAGGGAGGCGATTCCATTCAAAAACACCATCGGGTGTAATGAAGGCCGACTTCTGTTGTCAGCCACTAGCACAATCAAAGACACTAAAGACTTTGGCAGGTAGAAGGTAGAGGGAAACATATAGGCCTGGTAACTGCATTAAGGCGTGTATGGTCTACGGCAAAGCGGCAAGAGCTATCACGTTTTTTTTAACCATGGCAATGGGAGAGTGCCATTCAGAAGAACTTGGCCTCTGACCAATGTGAGGCTAAAACTGATCTTTGTGATTGGACAAATGCATTTTACTGTATACTTTGACTTTCAATATTTCAAAAATGCTTTGGGGGACAAAGGATCCACATAGTTCAGGGTATTGTTTTGGTGCACGGCTTCTCCCCAACGATGTGCTGAAGTATCGCCTGTCTCCAGTCCATCCAGTGTGCCTATAACGGACCATCAGCCTGGTGACTGTCATTCGGCAACAGCCAGAACTCCTTGCAACGTGGTTATGCGTTGCTTCTTGATGTATCATACCAATGGCTTGTTCTTTCAGTACCATTAATCTTAGTGCCACTAGTGTCTAGATTAATAAAACCCTACCTCCTGGAACAGTTGTCTACCTCCTATGACAACTCCTAAGAGTATATGTATTAAAATAGGATCGGTTTAGTTTAGTTACTGGATAAAACATTGAGAAATCAGGTACGTTGATTTTGTGGGATGGAAAACTTGCAGGGCCATTCTACGTCAAAGTATCTATTATGTAAAGCCATTTATATATCCTCACGTGAACTCTGCGAGGGCTTAGTCGTATCAAAAGCGGAGTGAGTGAGTTGGGTTTAACGCTGCTTGTAAAATTATTCCAGTTATACCACGGCGTGTCAGCTTAATGTGGAAGGAAAGCCCGAAGTGATGCAGGTCTCAGACGTTTACCGCTTCGGTGAATCATAGTTTCATAGTTCCCTGGAGTGTCCAAGGGACGTAACTCTGCACAGCTAACCGGGGGCCTTAGACGACTTGGCCACCCGTGCCCCCCAAAAGCGGAGTGTACGAGGCACAAGGTAAATAGACCCCACAAGACAATATCAGGTGAAACCTACTTTTCTTCATATTATTTATTCACATATTGGTTCAAGATAACAGTTTAGTCATGTCATGAAATATCTGCCTTTTATTATCAGTCATTTCACGGAATGACTTGAATGTTTAATCATTTCATGAAACGACTGACTGGGGTCGTGACGTTCTATAGATGTTTGCATGGATCGTTACATTATATAGAAGTTTATTGGACTCAAGACGTCATATAAATGTTTGTCCAGATCGTGATGTTATATAGAGGCTTGCTGTGGTCATGGCGCTACAGGGAGGTTTGCCTGGGTCGTGACATACTTCTGATTGTGACGTAGTGTAGACTGCAGCAAGCAACATTCACGCACTCAGACTCCTATACATTGCGTTGGCGGTGGGGTAGCCTGCTGGTTAAAATGTGAATGTTATGGTGGTGCACAGTTAGAAATGAGAAAACAGGAAAGTGCGAAACGATATAGATGATCATGATGTTTACGTATAGAAAAACGTTAAATAAATGAAATTATACTTTTATCTGCGTTGCCAAACTACACCTATGGGGAACAACTCACTAGACACTCCCCTCTCAAAAAGAATGCCGTCCAATATATGACGACAACAAGTTGCGAGCGCATGTTCGAATCTCCAGAAATGCCATGATAGACAATGTTTTGTCGTGAAATAAACCACACTTCGTTCTTCATTGCTCTTTACGATTTATAAGACAATTTCGTCTTTCAAAGCAACAGCAAGTAAATGTACAACTTTATGGATAACTTCTGGTAACTGTAGCTTGATGACGGTATAATAATCTACACTGGGACGTCATTCAGTGAATTAAACCAGAAGTTTATTATCCATAAAGATATCCATAAGGTAACGTTTACTTACTTAATCACCAATCAAACAGTTCAAGCACAACGTTCAAATTTACGGCTTGTTATTTTTGCATTACCTCTTCCATGCCTATTTCATTAGTCACATAAACAATTTAGTTCAATTCAAACGCATGATGAATAATGAATACATGTAACAAAGTTGTGTGAGAAACAGACGTAAAGTTATACCCTTCTTGGCATTTTAAAGCACTGCCGAACAAGACGGAAAATTCACATTGGCGTTCCTGTTTTCATGATTTTTCACGTGTATTGAACAGGTCTAGGGTTATTGGCGACGTTTCAGAATGATTAGTTGTGTTTTAATAAAACTTATGCATCTGTGAACACTAATATGATACTTTCATAACTGAATGTTCTGATATTTCGATTTCAGAACATTCATAAAATAACGCCGAAAATAGACCTCTAATGAAACCACGAAAACTGCGATATTTCAATGGTGTCCTCCCAGATCCCCTTATTACTCCCCACAAGGTACCAAAATAAAATTAGGTGCTGTGGGTGTGCCATGCCTGGATGAGTTTTATAATTAGGTAATGTTGGTAGTTGGATTCACCAAGATTGTGAGCAACCAG